TTTTAAAAAGATTTTTGAACCCCAAAAAAAATTTTTAACCCCAAAAAAATTTTTTAACCAAAAAAAAAAAAAAAAAAAAAATGTAAAATACAAAAATTCATTACTGCGATTACTTTGTTTGTAAAATTATTATTATTAATCTGATCTATCTATTTTTGTAATTTTCAATTGAAAAAAAAAGAAGAAAAAAAATTCAAATTTTTATTTATTTATTTTGTTGATGCTGTTGTTGTTGTTCAATTACGATATTCTTTATTTTTTTTACATATTTTTTCCTGTAAACACTTGACTACAAAAATTTGTCAAATTTTTTTAAAAAAAGACCAAAGGATTTTTCTCATTAAAATTCCATCATTGAAACTTGATTTTTTTTTGTTTGATTTTGCCAAGTTGATTTCGCCAAATTGATGAATTTCTTGTGTTGAATTTTTCATTTTCAAAAAAAAAAAATTGAAATTTCAAATCGATGATTTGATCGCCATCTGACGAACAGAAAACTAAACAATTTCAAATTGATTTATTTTTTATAGGTTTTTTTCTGGTTTCTGGTTTTCCCATTGTTCTCGATACATGAAAGAAAGAAATTCTCATATCTTTTAACATTTAAACATTTCGCATAATAATTTTTCAATTGTCGTGTCTGTATATATCAATGAAAAAAAAAACAGATAATTTTGTCATCATAATTTCAGATTATTATCAAAATACTTACTACCAATAGCTTTTTTAAAATAAATTGATGCTATCTTTTCAGCCGGAATAATTTTCAATGATAATAATAGTAAAAGTAATTTACCAAATCTACAATCAGTCAGTCAGTCATCGTATCATATACACGAATCGATTAAAATTATAATGTACATCATTTGATTTGATTTTGATTTTGATCGGATCAAAATTTTCATCTGATCTGATTTGAACTTACCTAATCGGATTGGTGGTAGTAGTGATGGTGTCCGGATTTTGATTCTTCATTTGTTGTTGTTGTTGCTGTTGTTGTAATAGCATTGATTGTAATTGATCCTGCATCTGTTCAATTTTTGTTACATCCTTTAGACCTCTTGCTTCTATCATGATGATCATCATGTTTTTTTCCCGATGATAATGATAATAGGTCGATTTAATTTGGAAAAGGAAAATGGAATAGTTCAAATTCTGGAAAAATGAAAAAAAAACTAACCTGGTTTAAATAAAGCCAATGCTTTTAAACAGGAAAATTCTGTCGATGTTATTGCCATTGAACGAAATCTTTCAAACATATCATTTAGGACACGAATTTCTGGTAAATAATCATTACCATTTGGTATATTTTGTGATAAAAATATTGAACATTTATCTAATGGTAAACTCCATTGTATAGCATTCAAGATGAATATTTCGGTCCATGATTCTTCCAATAAAACAATTTGATCACGAAAACCAAGACTAGCAAATGATGGTAAATTTTTTATCCATTTTACACCGGTAAATAAAAGACCGGCAGATATTTCATAAAATGAATCTGGATTTAATAAAATGAACGATGACGAAGACATCGACGAAGAAGATGATGATGGTGTTAATAGATCGGAAAGACCTAAATATTGACTAGAATCGGATGAATTCATTAAATATGAACCAAAATTTGAACGAAAATTTGTTGAATCTGCCAACGATTCCGGTTTGTTTGAATCATTATTATTTTTCAATGAACCACTATTTCGACTTTCTTTATTATTATGATGATAAACAGTGGAACATTTATTCTGTTGATGATGTCCATTTTGTTGATTTTTTGATCCTCTCAGCGTTGTTGTTGATGATCGTTTTTCATTTATCGATCGCCATCCATGATCTTGATGATGATAATCATGATGACGATGTTTACCCTGACCACCACCAGTACAATTACTTAAACCAAATACTGCAGCTACTGTTGCTGCAACACCTTCACGTAATAATCTTTCGGAATTTGAATCTGTCAGTAAAACTTCAGGTCTTATTGTAGCCGTATTTCGTGGTTGTCTTTCATTTTGTACAGCTATCATTTAGTAAAATGTGTGTAAATGAACCTGTAAAGAATTTGACAGAAAAGAAAAAAACTTTCAAACTTACCATCTTTATTCATGCCCATTGAAATACATTTTTTTAATCGACAAGCTTGACATTGATTTCGATGTTGTTTATCAATAATACAATTACCGGTACCAGCTTGACATCTTTTTTTTTGTTATTGAAGATGATTAGTTGTTTGTTTGATTAAATTGTAATTGAAATTATCAAAAAAAACTTACCGATAAATAAGTTTACGTCGAACACTACGTTTAAAAAAACCGGAACAACCATTACATGCTAATATACCATAATGTTTACCACTGCTTAGATCACCACAAACAACACATAAAAGATTTGATGGATTTGTTGGTTTTGATTGTTTGCCATTACCATTATTATTACTACTTCCATCATTTGCATTATCGTTATTTGAAGATTTTGTAGCCGATGAAGAACCGATTGGCTCACCAGGAGATTCACCAGCAGCAGCCGCAGCAGATGATTTCGAAAATTTTGGTTGAGGATATTGATTCTGTTGTTGTTTGATTGATTCAACATGATTCGTACGATGCATCATATGATTATTATTGTTGTTTTCCGAAATCGATGGATTTAAAGTCGTTGTTTCTGTCAAATTTGTTTGTATTTGTGAATTATGACCACTGTTGATCGACGATGATGATGGTGATGATGTTATCGATGTTATTGGTGTTGAAAATGTTAAATTCAATGGATTTAATTGACCAACAGCAGCCATTGAATGTAATAGGCTATTTTGCATATAACTAGTAACCAAAGAAGCTGCTGCTATTGATGATGATGATACATTGTTCGGTTTAAATAGTGGACTAGTTGTTGTTGTTGTTGTTGAAAATTGTGAAGGTTGATGACCATTTGTTAAAAATGTATTTGTCAATGGATTAGCCGTATTTCCGAATGCAGCAACAGCAGCAGCATTTCTAGCTGCTAATAATTGTTGTTGATATGAGAAAAAAAGATCGGTTGCCATTGCTGATGTTGTTGTTGTTGTTGTTGTTCCAAGATTACCACCGGTCATCATCATATCTTGACCACCACCATTGATTGATGGTGGTATGATAAAATCAAAATTAACACCCGAATTAATACCAGTCGTTGATGCTGATGATGATGTAGAAATAATAGGATTCAAAGGATTTAAATCAAATGTTGATGGTTTTTTTGATTCTTTAACAAATTGTTTATTACTATGATGATGATGATGACGATTAGAATAAGAATTTCTGAACGAATCTGTTTCAATGTTCATCATCGATGACGTTGTTGTTGTTGTTGGTTTCAATGATGATGATGATGATGATAATGATGGAATCGGTGGTGATAAATTACTAATTGAATCAAATGATGAACCGGTAATTAATGGTGAACTTGTACAGATATTTGTTTCATCATTAATACTGTCGATACTGCTGCTATTGCTTCGATTATATTCATCATTTACATCATTTTCATTCATTTCTTCTTGATCATCATCATCATCACAAGAATCGGTTTGTTGACCTGTATTTTGAATCAATTTCAATTTCAATTTTTAATTAAAAAAAATAGATTTTAAACTTGGAACCAATAAAAAACAAAACAAAACTTTTCAAAAAACTCATTTTCTGTAATTACTTTTACTTTTTTGTTATTTACTAATTTTGTAATGGCTCTCTATGGATCTCTTCTTGAAAATAAAAATTTGGAAAAATGTTTGGGAAATGTTTGGGAAACAGAAAAAAAAACTTTTCAAATTTCTCATGATGAAAATTTTCGAGCAAGCAATTTCATGACATGAAATTCTAAAAGAAAAGACAAACGCGTGTCGATGTCATCATAATTTTATGATTATGATGATGATTTTGATGGAATTACTACAATGACAAAGAATGGCGAAAACAAAAAATTATCATTATCAACGACAAATACAATTTTTGGATGTAAAAATCTGTTCTGGGTCATAAGGCGAATGGCAAAAACGTTGCACGAAACAATCCAAATCAATTTCAATGCATTATGTTCATTTTTTTTCATTCTAAAAAATATATAATCCGATTGGCTATATTCATTTTCGGACTATAAGCCGATTTGTTATTCATTCATTCATTTTTTTTTGATTGTTTGAAAAACCAAGCTTAGAACCAGAAAAAAATGAGCCATCACAAAATTTGACAATATTGGAGGAGAAAAAAAACCGATTTTCATTTGAGCAAGCAAGCAAGCAATTTGTTTAATTGATTCACATCAAACAGAAAATTGATTCATCATCATCATCATCATCATCAACATTGATTTCACAAATACAAAATCAAAACTTACCTTCATCCATATGATGATCATCATTATTGTTCCATTTAGATGTTTTTGTTGTTGTTGTTGTCGATATTAATTTGTCCATTGAATCTTGATCATCATCTTGATGATCATGATGGTCAACTTGAATATCATTATCATCATCGGCCATAATTGTTGATGATAAAATAATGGTTGGTCACTGAAGAATAACAGGAGTCAAAAAAAAAAAAATGTCAAACAACGATGATTTCATCTAGCCAAATGAATTCTGGAAACCAAAAAAATTCTGGCCAAAAGAATCTTCTCTCTTTTTTTCTCTTCATTTCGGGTAAAAAAACATTAAGGAAGGAAGCAAATCAAATCAAAGTTATTGTTGTTGTTGGCCATCGAATGTTTTTCGAATCGAATGTTTTTCCAAAAAGAACCTCCCACAATACATTATATGTGAATAGTGCCAAGTTATAAAGAGTCAAGATTCGTGATTTTGGCTTCCAACATTGACAATTGCCTTTTTCCTTCTTTTTCCTTTATTTTCTTTTCATGGTTTTTTTTTCTCCTGACCAATCCTATAGGTTTTGATTGTTTAGGTTTGAATTGTGTGTGTATGCCATCAAAAAATTTTGTTGTGCCAACCCACCAAGGCTTGTTCTGTATAGCCAGCATCAAACAGCTCTCTGTTCATTGTTCACATTTCACGTTCGAAACGAAGAAAAACAAATGAAATGAAATGAATGAAAAATGTCCCCTGAAATCAAAGAAGGAAGCATCAAAAACACCAAGCTTGGGCAATGATAAAATTCACCATTTCAGTTTTATTCATTTTTCAATTTTGCCTCCTCCTACTCGATTCTCGGTTTGTTGTTGTTGTTGTTGTTTGAGAAAAAAAAAATGTCCGCGCATCAAATATTATCATCAAAGCATCATCCAGAGAAAAATTCATTCATTCACCATTAATGTTTTCTTTTTTCATTCGAAAAGAATTCACTGATTCACTGATTCCACACACTTTGATTTCATGGATTAACCCATTTTATCTCATTTCATTTCATTCAATGTCAGCAATTAAATTTGAAATTTTAAAAGTCAATTTTTATTTTTGTCAATTTGAAAAACAACAACAACAAGCCAGACAAAAAAAAGGGCATATATGACATGTGGTCACATCAAATATTTAAATAGCCTGGGCATTTTAAATCAATCTGGATTCTTGAATCACTGATTTTATTATCATCATCATCATCACAGATGGGTGACATGCACATTATTATTATCAAATGATGACACCTGTCCTCTTTTTCTCGGCTAAATCATCATTGTCTGCACCAGAACAAAACATGTGTACAGTGATACCAAACAAACAAACAAAGAAGAAAAATCCTGTTAATTGATGTCACAACCAAAAAACAACTGATAAATGATCAAATTTGAATAACAATATCCCCGAAATGAAATTATTTTCGAATGTTTGTGTCCAGAAAAAAAAACAAAAAACAATTTTCCTGGTATTAGATTAATGAATTTATATAGAAAAGATGAATGGATAGATAGAAAACACTGGCAAAAAAAAAAAAAAAAGAAGAGGACACCATTTCGAACGAATAATGATTCAGTTTTTTCGGCTATTTTTATTTTTGGCAGTCACAAAATGCACAATAGCCGTTTTTTTGTTTTTGATCAAAAATTGTGTAGCAAACATCCCAAAGTGACATTATAAAATTCTTTATTCTCGATTTCGATTTTGCGGATCGTTCAAAAAGTAATTTCAGTTCCTATAGAGAGACACACACATTGGTTAAAGAAGAAGAAGAAAAAGAAAAAACTAATCCTTAGGATTTATTCTCAATGATGATGATGATGATGCTTTTTTTTTGTTGGAAACATTGCCGTAAATGTCAAGCACCTGAGACCAGCCAATTCATTCATTCAGTCAACAAAAAAAGAAAAGAGAACCAGATGAACCAAATGGCATTTCACTTCGAAACATTTTACTATATGATCATTTGACAACAACAGTGAACAAAAATGGGCCTGTGTTTCTCTTGTTTTGAATTGTCATGTAAATGAACTTCAACTTTGAATGGCCAAAGAAAAAAAAACCAAAACCAAAGCCAAACCAACAAAAAAACTTTTATCAAAATAGATTCATTTATCATATCCATCCATATCCATTTTGAAGGTGTTTTTTTGTTGTTGTTGTTGTTGTTGTCAATTCAATTATCTTGTCTCTGTTCGTTCGTTCGTTCGTTGTATTCACAGTAAAAAAAATGATCAATTCTACACATCAATTGAATGATAATGATTTGATTGAATTTCATTTAATTTAATCACGGGGTTTTTGTTTTCCTTGAAAACATTGGAAGAATCTGATCAAAAAAAAAAATTTCAAAATCAAAACATTTGAGCAGTCGTAAATCGAATGTTTTAAATTTCGAACGTTTTTTTTTTTTGGTTCTTATTTCGAACGTTTTTTTTTGGTGAGGGACAAAACTATTATCGGTTTGTTGGGTT